TGGGAAGACAAACAAATTTTATAATACCTAGTGTTAAAGAGAATGCAGTACACAGATGTGAAAATTTGTAGTCCTTTTGGAAAATGTGTGGTTATGGTATTTCTAAAGTTAAAATTTCACATCACCATCAAGAAATCCCATGCTTATTTAAATGTTCAAGATCAATTATTAATGTGTACGAGAATGCATTAGTATTGCTCAAATAGCAAGGAAAAAAAAGACCAATACAATTACCCCACACAGGAGAATAACAAACTGTGGGACATTTACTAAATAGAATATTATACAACAAAATAAATAAACTAAAGCAGCAAAAAAAAGAGATGAATTTTAGCAATATAAACCACATATTTCTAAAACACAATATATATCTTTTTATAAATGTAAAAATACATATTTTTTAAAAAATATCTTTAAGCAGTACATATTAATATATTACCAGTATGTAGAAAGGGAAGCAAGGGAAAAAAAAATACAGATTTAGTATCATGCTTTCTTGTGCGGAGACAAGTAGGAAGAACACGTAAATGTTGAGGGAAAGGAATTTTTATTTTGTCTGCTAGTTTTGTAGTTTTTGTTGATTTATTGATTATTAAAAAAAGATAATTTCAGTGTGCTCTAATCCAAGATAACAATTAAGTCAATTTTCTGTAACAGAAGTCCCCATCAAAGTTTTAAGTAAGGATTTGTATAAGTTATATTAGAAAATGTAGATAATATATATTGACTGGCAGAATATTAAAGGGATACAGTAGAACTCATGCCTGAAAGCATTAAACAGGACCAATAATAACCACGACTCACCATGACAATGAAATCATACACTCTTCTGCATTGAACATAAAGCAAAATGCACCTGAAAGCTATCCTAGTGATATATGGAGAATTTAACTTTGAAATTAGAGAGAAAGATGCATGTTTTTTTAATCAAAGAACAATTTTAAAAAACCGGTGAGGGCACAGAAGATTTAAATAATACAACCAATAAATGCAATATAATAAATATTTACATATGAAGCATGACTCCAAAGAAACAAAGAAAATACATTCTGAGAGCTAGGGAAGATCTATAAGAATTGTTCATGTAACTAGCTTCAAGTATATTTCAATAAATTCTACTAAGTAGAGCATTTACAATCCATGTGGTATGAATGTAATCCCAGATATCAAAAGTAAACAGCAAAATAACTTTTCAAGTGCTTGCATTTGAACCAGGTCTCCTAGAGAATCCCTGAACAAAAAGGAAATCAGAAAATATTTCTTAGGCAAAGGTAATAATGCAGAGAATACTTCATAGTAATTCTGTCAACAAACAAAAGTATGCAAATAAACTGAAATCTATAATATGTTAATATTACCAAGGAGGAATCAATGTAAACTAAGTTTCAACATCAGTGAAGGGATGGTTTTAAAAGAAACACCATCCCATTTCTGGGTATTTTTTGAGGTGAAGTGTTGGGAAAAGTTGACAGGACAGTTTTTATGAAAAAAAAAAAAGTTTTTATAAGCCATTTGCAGAATTGTATAGAGCAACTCAAAAGAAGAAACATGAGAATTGTTTGAGAAGTGGAGCCTAGAAAACTTGAGGCCAACTTGAAAATGTGGGTGAGATGACAGGTTGCAATAAAATGTTAACTTCCAGGATTCTTGCTACTACAGAATAATAGTTAATGGGCAGCATCTGTCATATCATTATGTATCTGCTGACTACTATTTTTTTCAACGCCTCCCGAGCATGACCACTAAAAGCAGAATGTTTGCAATTTTTTTCTCTGTCCTTTTCCTTCTTTTTCATCAACTATTGGTGGTGCGGGTGGGAGCAGAAGGGGAGCAGTAACAGCAACACAAACAAACAAACAAGAGAAGCTGCACCATAGTAGGTGGTGGAAGAAGGAAATGCTTCATTCTCCCCCCAAATTTGCCCTTGCTTCATTTGCTGAAAGCTGCTGCTACAGGATACTTTGAAAAGCAACTCCACTTTGACAATTTCGATCTGCAGCAGCTTCTTTTTGATACAAATGCTGTGGAGGTGCATTGTTGTGTCTGATAAAAGATTGTTATTGGAACAAAAAATGTGTTTTTTCCTTCCCATGTAATATGTAATAAACCTACTCTATGAAGTCTCAATGAACTCTCTCAATTGAGAAAAATACAGACAATTTTCATTATAAGTGAATGTCTCCAATTCATTCCTTTTCTATGGAAGGAAGACATGCAACAGTAACTTACTGTAGGCCACATTTCATAAGATATAATCTATTCCATTATTCTTGTGTATGTTTCATATGAAAAATGTTATGAAGTTTTTTCCCTTCACAAAAATACATATTCTCTTATCTCATTAAGTCCCTATCTCATACAACACTCATTCCCCGGCTGCTGTCCTGCCCCCCTGCTCCTTCACCAGGGTCTCCCCAGATTGCATTGCTATTTAAAACATATAAAAGAAATGCATGCATTTTGTTCACACACAGTCAGTCCATTATTCAATTTAAAGTCTCAGGAAAATGGAGATGAAGTTCTGAGGATGAAATGAACCTGAGATTGGTTGACTGTGTATCTGGCACTGTCTCCCAAATGCTATGAGTTACATTTTTTGTTGTAACTAGAATGTAGTATTTGTTTCATTGATTATGGAATTTAGCATAGAGATGACCTTATACTGGTCAGAGCTCCCCATTGTGTACTCCCATTCACGTGATACAGAGTATTCACATGGAAAAGTCAATCTGACTTTTTTTCAAGGTATCACAACCCTGAAAATTACATTATCTAATATACGTAAGTATTTTTGTGTTTGGATTTTTATTTCTGTTCAATTATAATATGTGAATATTTGTGGAAATCCAAACACTATACAGCATGTACACCAAAGATGTAAAGTTTTCTGTATCCTCTGTCTTCTACTAGTCAACTCACTCCTAGATATTCACTGCCAAATATTTGGTCTGATTCTGTACACACATTTACACACACATTCATATATAATTTATATATGTTATTAAAATATAAATATTTTACATGTTTTTGTAAAGAGTTTATACTTAGAATATTGTGAACTTCCATGCAACTATTCATTTGAATGTGAATATAATATTTTGCTCTTAGTAAGTTGTAATGAACATCATTTTACATAAATATTTGATTGCTCTATCAACAAATACATATCATTTTGCTAGTGTGTTTTTGAAATTTTAATAAAATAAAATTTATTTTAAAATGTTTGTGTTTTACAAAAATTATACCAATATATATTCTCTGTTTCCTATTCTAATTATATTATTCAATGTAGAAAATAAAGATCTATTCTTTGTGATTCACTTAGTAGAGTCTTCGTGTCATGGACAAAAGATATGAAATGATCATATTCATAAATAATACATGAAACTCTGTTGAAATGATAATGATAAGTGTTAATGATAACTTTGCCCAGCACTTCTGAGCATATATGGCCATAGACACATCATTTAACCTCAAAAAATCCATATTGTTCCAACGAAATTGGAAGCATGTGTCCTAAGTACTCATAAAATTGCAATAAATATAAAAAGACAAACATTCAGGGAATGTGTATTCAGTTAGAAGCATTTCAGAAAAATGTATTTACATGTAACACATATAGATGAAGTGATCCTTCATAAATAAGATGAAATTAGAGCAAATCACATTGACATCAGTTCATATTTACTAAAGGTGGGTTAAAAAAATTGTTTTCCGGGCCTCCCCGGTGGCGCGGCGGTTGAGCGCTGGGTTGCGAAGATGCCCCCAGCCTCTGCAGCGCCGGTTCGATCCCTGGCTCCTCCCCAGCCACCAGAGGAGGGTCCCGCATGGCGCGCAGACCTCTCCTGCCACCTGCTGCTCCCCTCAGCAGTGTACATCGGTCCTTCTGCCTGCTCTGCTCCCCGCTCTGGCTCTGGTGAATTTTCTCACCCTCCCTCGCTTCTGACTGTACCCAATGCTTGTATAAATAAATGAATAAAAATAAATAAATCTTAAAAAAAAAAAAGGGAGAGCGACTCTTAAAAAAAATTGTTTTCCTATAATTGATGATATTTAAAATATTTCACACTTTCTATATGTAGGCCATTGAGACATGAAGAATTAAGACAGTATATATGTATGATTTTACATATGATTAAGATATTATACCTAAATAATTATGTATATATATGTATAAACCATTGTTCTCTTAAGAAGTCAGCATCAATTTTTGTGTACAAGGCACAGTCATTATTGAATCATCCTACCTCCTGATGTCTTAATGCCTATAATTACCTGGGAAACTGTCTCAGGAAGTAAGATAAAAGAAAATGATGTATTTACCCTAGATGAAATTTTAATTCGATGCCAACAATATGGTGCTTTGTGGAAGAAATATAAAATGTTACAATTGAAGCCAATATATAATTCAATGTAATTTTTATTTTACTTTTAATTATCTGGTTTAACCTATAGAAATATAATGCCCTTAATAAAATTTATTCTTTTATGCTAATATCAAATAGGGCCTTTAAATGTCAACCAACTAATATCATTCTTACATTCATATATATTAAAAAAAATAAAGCTTGTGAGCCAAAGCAAAATGAAATGCTTTCTTTCATGGATCAAATATGTTATCAATTTAATCTATAATGTAGAACAGAAAAGAAAATCAAGTTTGAAGGACATGTATCTATCATATAATCCTGATAACTAAGTCACTGACAAATTTTCTCAGCCTCATCACTGAAAACCAAGACATATTTCGAGCCAGAATGTGATAATTAGCTAGTCAACAAGGATGCCATGAATTTCTACATTTGAAATCAAGACAAATCTATTTTCTTAAAGACTTTCTTGAGAATCTGTTATTAACCCATTTCAGGAAGATAATTTAATAGGTCTGTGTAAATGACAATAATATTAGAAAATGCATTGTAGCATTCAATTTGAGCCAAGCAAGCTATAATCTTTATGTGCACATAAAGTAATTAAAGTTGCCTAATGTTTCTTTTCAGGTGAGAGAATGACACAGAGAGATTAAGGCAGTCTTCCCAATGTCACACAGTAAGTAATTGATTGTCTGGATAGAAACCCAGACTGCGTGGCTACATACTTTGCTGTTATACAGAACCTGATACATATACTTTTTTTTTATATATAGCCTGATAGATAGTACCAGTTTGTCAGAGACTGTGGACACATATTTGTTGGATAGAAACAAAATTTGACTGCTTTCCGAAAAAATAATTGCAGCTAAAGTTGATCGTCTTCTTTATTTTTCATCTCCCTATTCATTATTTGACTAGTTAAGATAGTCTATGACATAAGGATGACTTTGGTAGCTTGGCTAACAAGATATAACTCTAAACCCATACTAGAAAAATATATTGAAAAGTTAGAAAATCCATACTTTATGCAGAAAATGTTATAAAGAGGAAAAATATTCATATAAAATATAACAGCAATAACTCATATACTCAGATGTTCTTTGTCGGTATAGCCATTAATCTGGATCTGGAATAGCAAAGCTTATCTTTGTTCATTTCCTAATGTTCCCAGCAGATACTCCTATTAGACATGTGATGTTTAAGAATAGTTTGAGAGTTAAGGTCGCTCATATCATTACCTCTTATCTGGGGAAGCTTCTTTAGGGTGTATTTTATTATGATCCATCGAAGATTGATTATTAAGACATCAAAGAGAACTTAGTATGGCAATTTGCTGTATGAATTAGGCAAACATTTCTCTCCAGTACATTTGCAAAATGCCAAGGAAACGTTGTGGTTAGGAATTATGGGAAATAAAGCAAAATCATTTGTTTATCTATGTAAAGTAGTTATAGTCAGCAATAATGGCAAGACTCAGAAACTGTGGATGTTCAGTAGTCAGTTGTCAAACTGAATTGCAAAAAATTGGAGTTTAAGATATGATTTTGAGTTTCAAATAGTTTAAAGTCAGAGAGTAAAGATGCTTACTGAATGGTTTCAACCACTTATAGAATATAAATGATAATGAAAACCCAAATTGGAAAAAACACAAGAAAAATAACTCTGAGATGCTGTGAAAAATAGAGTCCTTACCAAAGGGGAGGGGTGAGACAAAGGAGAAGAGGAAAAAGTGTGTTATGTGATAAGGTGGTGGCACTGGATTTTAATAGTGGGTTAGCGAATCATGTGCAAATGTGGAGGTGCGAAATTGTATTCCCAAAATTATATAGTTATACAAATGTGTGGTCAATCAATGAAATTTGATTTAAAAAGCACAAAGCACTTATCATTTGTTTGAAGAAACCAATTTAATGCATGAACAATAGAAAAAATAGGCACCGAAATATTTGTCAAGCAATTGAGTATAGGTAAGTCCAGGATCTGGGAATATGAACCTGAACCAAACTAGTAGGGCTTGATAAATCTAAGAAAAAATACTGTTTACCATACGTTTAAGGTGATTTAATAACTTTGGATAGCCCTTCTATGTGGAAAGGGAAAAATGAGAGGAGCATTTGAGCAGTAAGCTCATTAATTTATTCAAGTTGGTGAATAGCAAATTCCTAAGAATACAAGAATTCCCCCAAATACACTGAAATTACTTGTCTGAAAGTAAAAGAAACAATGAAGAGATGTGTCAATTTGAGCACCTGCTTCTTCCTCCTCTTTTGAAAATTAGAGAAGGAAACAAGTCTATAGTGACTGTGCCTTCACTGGTGACTCAGACCTGGTAACAGGCTTTGACCAAGCAAACCCCATCATCCTTGACATTGTCCTGTCAACTGATAAACTCATTTTTCAGCCTACATCTATGCACCATATATTTCTTCAGCTTAGTCAGTATCTCTTACTCTTTCTTTCACTCTACCTAATAAATAAATTGCACTCACGTGTTTCATATCCGAGGAAATAATTACAATCAAGGTCAAGATCAAATCACTTACATTTCTCTCCTCACTTCTCCTTCCCTCTCCTCCCTTTCTTCATCTTATGCTCCCCTTTTCCTCTTTTCTTTTTAATTGAACCATGCAGATTTACCTTAGAGATTTTAGAAGTTATATGTATGTAAAATCATTCACAGATACACAGGTGTATGTTTACTATTTAATTCCAGCTCAGTGATTTCTCTGTCCATACAGGACACATCTCAGAAGTGGTTGCTATTGTTTGCATTCTCCATCTGGTATTGAAAATATGTTTTCGCATAGACTTATGAGGTTCCCCCACAAATAGGAAAGTTGAGTAGATCTCCCAGGGTTTAGAGAGTTGTTTCTCCTTGAACTTTGTTGGGTACATGACTGAATGGATAGAACTGTGAGTGTACACAATATGGAAAGATGATCAGTCACTTCTATACATTTTTATTTACTCCCAGGTTTCAGTATGCTTGTGGCTGAGAGTTTGATGTGGATTTGTGTTGCTTCATGATCTCATGGGTTCTTAAATAGATGGTTCAATTCATAGTCTCATGGTTTTCATGGAAAGAAAAGTAAGAGTTAAAACAGAGAGACCCCGTGGTTCAATCTACTGCACTATTCTTCTTATACAATTTAATGTAATTATTATTCAAAATCATAGTTCAGGCTCACAGAAACTCTGAATTCACTGTGGAAACAGCAGAGTATAGCCTTTACACACGAAACATAAACAATCCAGAAAATTCTAGGACATGCAAAGTTCTTTTGCTTTCTGCCATGGTCTCGTTACAGAATTAAACCCCACATATTAACTTTTAGGTTGTCTGTCTGCCTTTTCTCCCCTTTTTGTGTGAGTAAAATGCTTTTTTTATTTTTTTAATAATTCAAAGAAGTTGCCCTATTTATAGATATTTGAAATTATATTAAATAAAAGGTGTGATGAAAAATATTTTTGGTGCTATTCCTAAAGTACAATCAGTATTTTAAGTTTGTTGTTGGTTCAGTCCATGAGGACATACTAACAGACGATAATAAAGTCTATTAGCTATCTAACTTTTAAATTCCTTAAAAGATAAATCTTCATTACTGTGGCAGGAATGAACAAGATATATGTAAATGGAGTTTTATGCTTTCATATATACCCTATCAAAATGGAACAATAAGACATTTATTTAAACTCATAAACAGAATATAGAGTAACAAAACAAAGAGTCAGACAATGCCCAACAACAACAACAAAAAAAAAAAACCCTAGAAATCTTACTGTACAATTGAGAATGCCAAGGGATAAGCCAGGAGTTGGAGAGGAAAAAGAGGAGGGAGCTCAGTGGACTTTGTAAACCAGTGTTACCTTAATTTTAAAAGTTACTAAAAAATTAAAAGCATTAAACAAATGCTTTTAAATACATATTTGACTAGGCTGACAAAAATGTCCAATAATTTAAGTGATGTACTTTTCCATAGGCTTTTTCAGATGAAGCATCCATGTTGCATTTTTACATTCTTTGTCTGTTTCCCACAAAATTGCCAACTCCTTACATATTTTTTGGCTGTATGTGAGTATATGTATATTTAACACACATAATAATATTTGTGTTGTATTGGATTTCTAGATTGAAATTGCCTAAGAATTTCAGATAAATATATCAAATATTTTATCACAATTTTCTGAAAAGCTAAGAATAAATAATTCAAGTACATCACCAAACTTCATCTTTTTAAAAAACTGATTTTAAAGACTGTTATTTTTTAAAAGTGTGATCTATTTGAGCATTGTGAAAGTAACACAAAATGGTTATGAATTTTAACATGGTTTCTATGATAAGATATTATGTTTCTGATGGAACAAGATAAAGCACACTTATTAATAGCATTCATCTGTACTTTTACATTTGAAAATATGTAAACTTTAGTACATAACTGGAATTTCTTCTGTAACCCCTGTATGTTGGTTAGAGAGACTTGCATATTTCTATTACTCAAAAGACATTTTTAAGTTGTTGACTTTTCTAGCTCACTATCTTATCATCTTACTTCCCTTCAAAAAATTCAGTATATCTTGGTGATCTTGCACAAGGCATAGCTATAAAAATATTATACAACTATTTTGCATTGATCTTTTTTCTCTACAAAACCAACTTGGTTAATTTTAAATCTATGAATATTCAGCATATTGAGCATATTCTAGAAAAATAATTAAATATTTAATAAATGACATAAATAATGTACTAATACTTATGAAATGATATGTAGTAAGAACATTATAATTTTTAGCAGGAGTCAAAACCAAAAACAATAATAGAAACAAGGAGGAAATTCCCGTTGGAAAAAATTATTGTACTAAAACCTACCATTCTGGTTAGTTCTTTGTGTGATAAAATTAACAATCTACTATGTACTTAGTTACATTGTTCTCAAAGTTTGTATAAACTGTGCTGGTGGTGAATACTGTACGTAAGATTAAAAGCAATGCCTTTTATGTATAAAGTCACTGAAGACTTATTTTTCATGAAGTCTTCTGGACTTCCTTATTTATTCATCATTTATCTCTATGTAATGGACATTTATCTTCTTATCTTTCTTTATTGCCATTTTTATTACATAATTATGGGTATTTCTACTATTGAGCTACAGCAATAATTACATATTTGCATTTGCTTTAATTTTTGTGTTATATCTTTAAATGTTACAATATTCTCATTCTATATTAGTTTTTAAATGTATTTTCAATTATTCCTTGACGATTTCTAATATCTCCATTATATATTACTATATGTTTACTAATATATTGTTTATAGGATATATAATTATATAACTATTATATTACAATTAAATAACAATTATTTGTATAACAATATTGTCATATAACAATCATACACATAAATCAGCATAGCTTGGGAGCCCTTGTTTAATTTACAAATAGTTGCTACCTGCCTCAAAGAGTTACTGCCACATCAGGAAGATGTACTCTAGATTAGGCAGGTGATAATGAAGTGCAGAGCATGTTCATGCTAATAGAGAAGAACATACAGAATGTTTTCTATATTCAGATGGGAGCAGATTTCTTTCATGAGGGCTAGTGGGAATGAAGTTGTTGCTGATTTAAGAAAAATGAGAAAAGTTTGGCCAGGTGAAAACAGTAAAGAATT